ATTGGGTGACCCACTCTGAGTAATATTTCTGGAAGTAGTCTCAATCTTGCCAACAGCAGCTGGGAATTCAGGTTCATGAAACACCCAAGATCATACTGAGGGATGGAAGTGGATAAAGATATAAAGATTTATTGGCTAGAGCTAACTCGAGATGTCTCACAGTAATCAGATTAATGTTAATTAAGCTCATCATATGTCCATTCACATACAACATAGATGAGGTTGTACCAGCTGACCCATCAACATCTTGCTTTGTCCGTCACTTTGAGGCGAGTCTTTTCCAATGAAAATACTCCTTGGAATGTTGTACTGTGCCATAACTTTACGGGGGCCCTCGTTGATATTGTAGTGTGAAGTTAATATTAGACTTCGAGGTAGCTTACTTTGTCCAGCATACGGCCCTACTATGATATGTGTGGCAAATGCAACTAGCCCCACCACGTATATATGTGGATCAAATGGCCCATTGAGTTCGTATTGCCTAATACATTGGATTATGTATATTGAAAAATTATGAGCATGGAGGGAGTAGATAGATCTGCATAAGCAAACGTACTGGCCATATGCTTTGATCTACAGAGTACAAGGTATGTTGTACTCCATAGTGAGTTTGTGATGGTGGCTTATAGACCATTTATCATGTGAAGGTGATATTGCGCCATCACTTTGGGTTCCCATTGGTGCTGACAATAGTCATGTCGGCCGAATAAGCTTGAAACGTGACTGGCTATGAAGGTCCCCAAAATACAGCTTTCCCGCTATACAGCTATATCAACTATGAGCTTTAATATGTTGTACACTATCTTGAGACTTTACGTAGATCCTAATCAGGAATCATCCGTGATGAGTAGCTTACACATATTGTTCCCGTTCCTAGGTCTTCATTGCTTGTTTATGTCTCGAGACTAAACAGTAGAGTGCCTCAATATAACAACGAATACATCTAGGGATATACCCCTCTCAGTAGCCTTTCCTCTATAAGCAGACCGGATTGATTACAATGCGACCAGAAAAAGTCATAACCTAGGTAAGGTATTCGAGCTTGTCTGGTGATAATGGTGCTGGTAGAGCCGCCCATGCGATAATTCTTAAAGCTTATGGCAAAGTCGCCTCGTAAGAATTGCGTCTTTCGCCATTTTCCGTCCACGTATGTAGTTTGCAGATGGCTGGCAGGGAAAAGACATGGAAAAAAAACCACGAGCAAAGACAAACAAGATATCGTAGTATGTAGGGTTATGTCTTGTAGGAAAAACTACTTCCTACTATGTACAGCTAGTTGAAGACGTGCTGTACACAACATATGTACAGAAGTAGGTATCGAGTAGTACAAAGATAGGGGCCTTGTAACATAAGGTTGAGGGGTAAATTGAGGGGTAAAAAGAAACCCAAGGAACTCGAAATGCTCATCTACAGTTGGTATTGCATCACACACGCTAAACAGCCCACGTTGTGACTTGCTGTACCTTCACCAATCATAGACATTCTGCCAAGCGGAAGCAATGATCACGCCATCAATAATGAATTCTAGGTGGGCGGGAACTAGCTAGATGAGGTTAAGTGGGGCCAAATTCATGGATGATGAGATGGATCTTATGCGAAAGCCGGAGGGGGTTCCACGGTTCCAATCATCATCTTATTAACCTTGTATCCCGCAGACTCGTTCTTCTTTTCTTCTCTCCTTTTAATCTACAATATACCTCTTCTCTCTCTCTATATCTATTCACAATGGCTGACCGCGCTGCTCCGTAAGCTCTTTACTCTTTTTTTGAGGTATCTATGTAATGCTGACTGTCTGCTAGCCTCCGTCTGGGCTCTACTGCCCCCAACTTCAAGGCTCTGACCACCCAGGGCGAGATCGACTTCCACGAGTGGATTGGTGACAAGTGGGCTATTCTGTTCTCACACCCTGCGGATTTTACACCAGTGTTAGTTGCTTCCAATCCCTCTTTAACCCCGCAAAGCGTTTACTGACCCTCAATAGCTGTACCACTGAGCTCGGCGCCTTCGCTAAGCTCGAGCCCGAGTTCACCCAGCGTGGTGTCAAGTTGATCGGACTGGTGAGTCTCTGAAATTGCCAGATCTAAAGAATTAGCTAATGTAGCCGTCTCCCTAGAGTGCCAACGCACTTGATTCCCACGAAGAGTGGATCAAGGATATCAACGAAGTCGGCTCGACTCAAGTCAAGTTCCCAATCATCGCCGATGCTGACCGCAAAATCGCTTTCCTCTACGACATGTTGGACGCTCAGGATCTGGAAAATGTAGACAGCAAGGGCATTGCCTTCACCATCCGCTCCGTGTTCATCATCGACCCTGCCAAGAAGATCCGCCTGACCTTGGCCTACCCTGCCTCCACTGGCCGTAACACAGCAGAGGTTCTCCGGGTTGTTGACTCTCTCCAGACTGCTGACAAGAGAGGTGTAACCACCCCCATCAACTGGCTGGTATGATTCCCCGTCCTCCGCAACCCAGGCCCTGAAACTATGCGAAGTACCTTACTGACTCAATCGAAGGTGGGCGACGATGTCATTGTGCCCCCAACTGTTAGCACCGAGGATGCTAAGAAGAAGTTCGGCGAGATCCGTGAAGTGAAGCCGTGAGTTCCATGTCCAACTGCAAGTCTGAAACAGAGGATGCTAACATGTCATAGTTACCTTCGCTTCACCACTCTTAAGGATGAGTGAACGGGGTCTTATGATTTGATGACAGGAAGATAAAATTGGTTCTATAAGACTTGGAACGCAATTTCCTGCAGAATTAATGCAATTTACTCACGCTATCCCTTTCAATCATGCGCTTTTCGAGAGAAGTCATGTGACATCTACGTCATTGGGCTCAGATTATCTTGTCGTAGTTCCTTGTATCGTTAGTTCGCTTTCTAATATGTTGAGATACTTCCAAACTATCAATCATAGTAGTTCTAGATCTCTGTCTCCTCAGAACTTCCTTGGAATGGAACTATGTCATAGAGCGTCAGTAATCTATACCAGTGCTCAGCTACACGTCTGGACTTTGTACTTATTTGCTTGGAGCAATGTGTAAGTTAAGGTTTGAATCGAATCAATTGAGACCCACTCCATCCAAGTAGTTATTAGAAACTTTGTTCGCTGGAGAACTTCTGCTGTGTTACGGCCAGTAGAGGCAGGGTAGGCCAAGGTCAGGCGGATCTTCTTGGCAGGGTCGATGATGAACACGGAGCGGATGGTGAAGGCAATGCCCTTGCTCTCACATTCGAGAGATTATGGGAGACGTGCGGTTTCTCTGTGACATATGATTCATGTAGCTAAGGCTGATCCGGGCACGGCGGCCGACGGAGTTGGCAATATCGCGGTCAAAGTATTCATAGCCAAGAAAATCAAGAAAAACTTGCAAGATGGGGAAAAGTCACAATCAAAATATTGACGGCCAAGAAGAACAAAAGGAGGGACAAATTCGAACACCCACTCCATTCAAACCAGGAGCATACCACAAGTCAGGTAGGCTCTGAGAGTAAGTGAACATATACTCTACGTGACTCTCGGGGGCACATAGTATAGACGTTACTCTCACATGAGGACGATCTAGAGAGTATGGGCTTAGAGAAAGTGAATGTCTCCAGGTCTGCCGAGCTTTACCAATGGCTGACCCAGAATAACCGTCACACAAAGAGAGGGTTTGGCATTCTGAGTATTTCCGGCAAAATCCCTATTTTGCGAGCAGTTCAAAAGCGGTGCCTCTGAGTGAGTCTGATTCCAATGAACCAAGAGAGAAGGTATTGAACAAACTAAGCTTCATTCCATGCAAATATATGTATGAATGGATATGTTATAGGTTGACTTCCAATGACGAACGCTATTATCAGGCTTTTCAGTGGCATTCACTGCCTCGAGCAAATTATTTCCTCTGTTTTGGATGATGAGGGTATCCAACATCATTATCTCCGTTCATGAAGACAAAAAAAGCCATTCGTGTCCAAGGACTTTCAAATGTAGCATATATTGCACAGGGGACTTGCTTTCATGTCAATTTAGAAGTCTTCTGGGGAGCAAGCCCCCATGATCTCTCGACTGGCCAGAGGCAAGCTGTTGCTCGTACCATCCACATTAGCTCCCATACAGTTTATAGACAATCATTCAGGTATGCAATTTGCACAGGCCTCTATGGCGCACTTCAGAACGGCCCCTCTTCTACTTTCAAGTCGGAGGTTGAGCTGAACGCGAGCGATCTGGAGATCTGACAGGCTAGCTATTCTACTAGCTACGCTACTCAAGATATTGATCAATAAACTGGAGTGTTCATGTAATCTGCTGGGTAGTATTGAAGTTATGCTTCACGAAATGCGGTATAATACATAGTCTTTTCGCGGGCAGTGTGGAAGCAACCTTATGGCAATCGCTAAGAATATGATCCAAGATGTGCTGCACAGCATTGTGACTCCAATTCAAATCCCAGTGGTTACCACATTACCACTTTCCAAGCCACGTGGGGCTCATTTAGGAACGCACTGATTGATATCGTCATATTTGTACACTCACATCTGCTTGCTGACGGCGATGATCCCGCACACTGGGCGGCTCAACCGCATCGCAGCCATTAGTGCTGCATCTGATCTTGCCGTGCTCCTTGTTAGCATCCCTTATATAGCGAAGAGTTGCAAATGTGGCCTTGAGGTTGGCTAGCTGATCGGCCGTGAGAAGCATCCTGTGAGAGGCATAGCTGTTGGCTCCCTTTGTGATGTTGGCCCACTTAACATTGCTGTATGGGATATGATACTCTGCATTATCAAATGCATGTTCTTGTTCGGAGGATCGCTTGATTTCATTCTCCATGAAAATGGGACTTCAGAGACCATCCGCTTGTACAAAGTATAGGTAACGAACTTCGCGATCCTTCCGTTATTCCCAGTTTTCTGAACGCATTTCAGGAAGACGACAAATACTGTCCAAGGAGGCTCAAACTTGGCGCGGCCAATTTGATCCAGTGATACAGCGAGCGTACCGAGTTGTACTTCATCGCCCTGGCTTAGCCTTCAACGGAAACGAGAATTTGGACATGTCTTCCATGCGCACCGGTGCGTAGTCCGGTACACGCACAAAAAGAATACTTCTCCGGCTCCTTAGCGCCCTGCTCGGAGCCCTTCTCGAGATCTGTATGGTTGTATTTATGGTTAGCCTAACGGTCATAGGCGCAAGATGGTGGTATAAAAGGAAGGATACGTAGATATATATACCTTCGGCAACGACATCTATGTCCTCTGCCTCTTCAGTCACCTCTTCGGCGACCTCATTATCAGAGGGCTCTATCATTGACTTGTTAGCCTATGTGTGTATGTAGCTATTGCAATTCTGTATAAGCAGACAACAATGAATTCCACCAGGGTGCAGAGAAGCAGATGACAGCTGCATCCATGGATGCGCATCGCTTCTATTAGAAGATAGAGATAAAGCCAATGGAGACATACCGACAGAGTCTATGGGTGGGAGAGTAAATGCCAGAGGTATTGGTCCACATACCGGACTTCTTTTTGCCTCCGTTTCCGGAGCGCTTCGATGTTGCGAAGCATAATAAAGCCAGCAAGGTCATAACCTAGGGCTGCAGAGGGAGCGCGGCAGTACCAGCATAGTCAGGATCTCCGAATTTGCTGGGCAAACATGGCAGAGCCATTGGAGTTAGATCCATTCAGTGACAGCCTGTAAATCATTGCAAGAAAGTCAGCGAGGAGGCCCCGATGGAAATAACAAATCAGCCACATCGATTGCATACCAAATAACCATCCGATCAGGAAGCTCTCGCGGTTGATCTTTTGAGAGGATAGAGGATACATTAACAAAAGAGGAGAGAGGAAAAGGAGGTGACAAACCTACTGTTTTATAACCTTGGAACCTTAGAAGGTACGTCAGGTACGTCAGGTACGTCAGGTACGACATCACATCAAAAAGGAAGCTGCACCTAAGGGGTTAGGATGCCCGTTCAGAGGCAGAGGGAAGAAAAAACGATATATACTAAGATCTATCCTCGTACAGAAGACTGCTTCATTTCACCATGTCCTACCCGTAAGTTGTTAAAGCAACTCAATTCCTCGTTGTTTTACATTTTATAGTTGTATCAATCAGATCATCTAGCTGCCCAGGTGGCTCTCAATGTATCTACAAATGAATAGTTGGCCGCGTTTACGGCCTTGTGATGTCTTTTTAGTAGGTCTTTCTAGCTAGTCTTTCTAGATGTCTTTCTAGATGTCTTTTTAGATATACGTGAAGGCGGTCAAGAAAAGCATACTTTGTGTAAGAGATTTGACTATGTCTAGAGGAAGTATTACATCACGAAGCTGTCTCGTAGATATCAGATCGTACCTTCCAAGTCCCCGAGCTCGTATTCCCCTCCTTTCCCCCAAATTCAAGTTTTCTCACTTCTCTTCTATTCCTTGCGTTGTCAGCCTAGTATCAGCCTACTATCAGCTTGCCATCGCAATTCAATCATGTTTTGATTGAATATTGAAAAACTGTGAGTGCAGATTATGTACTCCGCAAAGTCACCGCGTGCTTGAGAAAATCAGTCTCCTGAGTCTAATATATGGAACAGTGAGTCCAGCGTTAGAGAAAATGATCTCTTGATCATTTTGCCAGCGATGAAGTCTCCTATGGAGATCCACCTTTGGCGAAGACGAGGAATCGGGCGAGGGACATATTTCCTCTCAGAGCTTCGAACCTCTGGTCGATTTGATCGGCCCAGAAGACTCAGTGGAAAATTCAATGTTATGACCTCCCGAAAGGCCCCTGTGGCGAACAAGGAGCTTCAAAATGTTGGCAGGATATCTGCTTGATCAGAGCAAATGAAGACTCGGGTGATGATTGTCAGGTCATCCGCGCCATTCGAGGTACGCTGGAATGGCTTCAGATACAGACACTCGCGAGGAATGACCTCAATCAGCGGCCTGTCAGAGATCAGGCTACGACCCCGAGCAAGTGGAGGCTCCTGCGTGAAAAAATGGTTGATTCCCTCATGAAGCTCTACATCCCCGTATACCGCAAGGATGTGAAGATTGCTTTCGAGCGAAGGAAGATCACCCGAAGCATGTTCTTTCACTTTATCCTGCCCGAATCGAGAAGAAAATGGGGCTTTTTGCCGACGTCTTGAAGAGGTCTCGAAGACCGGCGCAGTGCTGCTGCGCTAAATTATTGTGGATGGGATAAAGGCCTGGGACCAGTACCGAAAGCGCCAGTCCAAGTGGAAGAGCGGGCATATCGACCCAGAACTTGGCAGCTAAGGAGAAAAAGCTGCTGCTTACGTGGGATTTGGCGACCGAACGAGTGTTTTTTTCTTTATTTCTGGCGGTGCCCAGGTTATTTTTTTCATTGACTCACATCACCTTGCGGTCATGCCCCCTGCTTTTCGACTAGAAAAATCCCATATAGCCTCTGGCAAAGCCTCATTAAACCCCAACTCTTTGCATATCTTTCTTCGTGGTTGTTTGGAGGTTTCAATTTGACCCTCGTTGTTCAGTCATCGGACAAGTTGTGATACATGTAGTTGACTAGGTTGGCAGGATGCTAGGAAGAAGTTCAGCGGGATAAAGTGCATCTCTTGGTTATTGCAGGACTCTATTTAGAAATGCTATAGGCACCAAAAATCTTACAATTCAAAGAGATATAAGATTTATACCTGCACATGTGATCTTTTGAAGGCTGTACAAAGTAGGTGAGGGGATGTAGAGGAGAAAAGCGGTAAACATTTTTTGTGCCGATCTCCAAACTCGACGGCTGACGCCTCGGCCAGGACTGTGCGCTCAACCATACGATCGGCAGTGAGTCTGCGTTGTCTAGTTCTTTGTTCATCTCCCTATTGTGAAGGCGTCAAAGTTGCGGCGTCGCGGGGAACCACCCCCTTTTTCGGCCCCCCACAAACCACCCTTTCGAGCCGTCCCAGACACACGATCCGCGCCGGGAATATTCTCCGAGAATCCGCATTCGAGAGAAAAACGCCTGATCGCATGTGAGCGATATTAAGTGAACTGAAATAGGGGTTCAACCGCTACCCACACGATTGTCTCCGTTGAAAGCGGACAGGAAATTCGCCCACCATGATGTCGCGAAGTCAGTCAAGTCTGGGGTATATGGATTCAGGGAGAGAGGATTCTGCGCCGGGGGCCTCTCCGTCCCTGAACCAGCAGTCTGCCTCTGGGCCTATTAATCTCTCTGGTCTGGTATGCAATGTGCGACGAACTACCGGCAAGGAACCCCGTCCTCTCGTCGGTGCCACTACGACCATCCTGGGCGATAAGCTATACGTGTTTGGAGGCCGGATCCTCTCGCGCAGCCGCCCTCAACTTACCTCCGATCTTTACGAACTAGACCTGATTCGACGACATTGGACGAAAGTCGAGCCCGCTGGAGATGTTCCACCTCCGCGGTACTTCCACAGTGTGTGTGCGTTGGGGGATAACAAGTTGGTCTGTTATGGTGGCATGTCACCCGCACCGAGTACAAAACACCCCGAGAACCCCGCGGAACCACCATCGCAGTCACAATCGGAAGTCGTGGTCATGTCGGATATTCACATCTTTGATGTGCCATCACGGGCATGGACTCGTGTTGCTGCCCATGAATCTCCTCAGGGACGCTATGCACACTGTGCTACGATACTGCCGTCGAGCGCTTGCTTCACATCTGCCAGTGCACCGCTATCCGCCATCCATAATAATCCCGAATCTTCTACTCATCAAGGCACACTTGGCGTGGATATTGACGGCTTCGGAGGTGCAGAGATGGTGGTGGTCGGAGGCCAGGATAGTTCCAATCACTACATAGAACAAATCAGTGTGTTCAACCTGCGGAGCCTGAAGTGGACCAACACTAGCCCGCTGGGAAGGAGCTGCGGTGCTTATCGCAGTGTCGTGGCTCCTCTGGTGGGAATGGATGTGTCCGAAATTGGATCCTCAGCTCCAGACCGCGATGAACACGAACCGATTCAAGATAGCACTGAATCGCCAGGTTGTCCTATGCTGATATACTCCAACTACAATTTCCTTGATGTCAAGCTGGAGTTGCAGGTGCGCCTGCCGGACGGACGCCTTGTTGAACGACCAATGCAAAGCCAAGCGTCACCTCCCGGACTGCGTTTCCCTAACGGTGGAATTATCAACGGTCACTTCGTTGTTAGTGGTACCTACCTGACTTCATCAAAGCAAGAATATGCGCTGTGGGCTCTCGACCTGAAGACATTGACTTGGGGCCGTATTGATGCCGGAGGATCGGTATTTGGACAGGGTAGTTGGAACCGAGGAGTGCTTTGGCCTCGCCGTAATTCTTTTGTGATTCTTGGACACCGGAAGCGAAGCCTGGTCGATGATTACAACCACCGGCGAATCAACTTCTCGCACGTCTGTTTAGTTGAGCTAGAGGCATTTGGACTCTACAACAATTCTTGTCGCACTTCTCCAACCTCGGGATATAAGTCTTACAGCTCCTCTTCTGTTCCAGCATCTCTGCAGAAGAAACTAATGCAGTTGACATCAGGCGGACGGCCATTGTCTGCCGCATCCGATGAGCTAGGCAAGCTCGCGCAATCTTTGCCAGAGATGGCAGACATGGAGTTGCAGGCTGTGGGGGGAGAACGTATCTCCGTCAACTCTCGCCTGCTGACTCGGCGCTGGGGCCCTTACTTTATCCAACTTCTCCGCGAGTCGTCGGAAGGAGGTATTGCAGACATCGGAACTCTTCGTCCAGCCCAGATACACCCGAGCCGCAACTCGAGTATTACCATCACTCCCTCGATAGGGTCCGATGCAACAACTCTTGTCAACCAGTCTGTTCCTTCGAAGTCTCTGCTTGAGAACCTTGAAGTTCCATCTGCTCACAGCCTCGCCCCAACCTCCCGACCGCGTGTGCTATACCTCCCCCATACCATATTAACTCTTCAAGTGCTGGTTCAGTACCTCTACACCTCAGCCCTCCCATCTGCAGGCACCTCGCTTTGCACGCCACAAATCCTCTGCTCGCTTCTACAGCTCGCACGTCCGTATCAGATCGACGGATTACTAGAAGCCACCGTGGAAAGACTCCACCAAGTTCTGGATGGGCGCAACGCCGCAGCTGTATTCAACGCCGCTGCTATGGCCGCCGGCGGTGGTCGCGGTACTGGATTCAATGGTGGACCAGGAGGTACACTCGAGGCTCTGAATGGAGCTTACACTGGCCACAACGGCGCTGCGCCCACAATTGGCGAAAAGAGCAACTCTCAACACGGCGCACTCACATCAGACTCGTCCGATACAGAGCATGGCGCTGCCTCCGCGTCAGCAGCGAGCAGCACGGGCGATCTCACCAACTTCGCTCGAGGTCTTCCATCTCTTCGTATCGACACCAGTGTCTCCCAGAATTCCCGCAAGCGCAGCGCCCATCGCGACCGCGAGGATTCCATTAGTAATCCAAGCACAGCGACATCTGCGTCCAGCGCTAGTTTCAGCCAGTCCGATTCCGAATGGGTCAGCGGCGATGAAAGCCGCTCGCAGTCCCGGTCTACCCATCACCGCCGCGACACAGACGCCGAGCTGCGTCGCCCTCAACGCGAACTCTGGACCGGTGATCTAAGCAGTGTTATCGGTCTCCAGAAGCGCGGCTTACGTGGTCTCATGGAGGGCCGTCGCATGCGTGAGCGTAGTTCGAAGCCTGCCAGCACCGGTAGTAACTCGATATCCATGCCGCAGTCGGCTGGTTCGGGCGATCAACACATTCCTTTCCAAGGAGTTGCCAGCTGATACTTGTCTAGAGCTGATTGCTGTGACATCTATACGATCTCTTTTCCTCCGCCTTATCCTTCTGCTATTTCGCTTTTTAGATATCTCTTCCAGATACCATATCTGGATTTTACATACTTCTTTTCTTCTTGCTTTTTACCCCAGCAGGCTGGCAATGTGGGGAGGATTTAGGGCAGAACCCCCATGATTTGGAACGATGCATCTGGATGTTGTACCTTTCTTCTGTTTATGTTATTTGGGCTGGGTAGGTTGTTCTCGCCTACCCATAGCCATGGATATATACTGAGACCTCTGGCGTTGGAGTTTACAATGAATGCAATGAAATGCATTAAAACTGGATTTGTGGGTCTTCCCCTTAGGATAATACCTTTGATAGAGATGAGAAGAGACGGATTCTTTTAGGACCGAATATGTACAATTGTAAAGCCTCCCAAACACCATTCTGATTTAGATTGTACATAGATTTCCGCTTTGAGAATAATAAAGAAACAAAGAGACGCAGATTAATTCTTCTGCGCCTGATCTCCAATCCGCTTGGGACTCTTGCCACCATAGACTAGAGGGAAATAAGTTAGTGTATATACAATCAAAAGAAGGTCGAGATTGTCTAGGCATTAAAGAACTCACGTCGGTCGTAAAGAACATACGATGTGCATATTACAAATGGTAGTCCGACCATAATCGATGTCCATCTAGAAACAGAGAGGATTAGATTTCTCATTGTTGCCATGTATCATTCGCCAACCAAAGACAAAGAACAAAAACACAGAATCAGGGCGGAAAACAAAGAATCATAAAACTTACCTCCGTGCAGCAGCCTTGTACTCCTTCGTCTTCCGGATATCATCCACCCCCTTAGGGAGCCGCAGAGGAGCGGGTTGTTGAACTGGGCGTGGAGGCCGGGTTTTGGGATCCGCGGATCGGTATCTGGTTTGGTCTTTGAGGGATGCCATTATTCTTGACTTTTGTTAGATATATTTGGGCATATAGGATATTGTTGGGGCGTGGTTACATGCTTTGCTTGGTGTATCATTGGACGATGTGAATTCTGTGAAGGGAAGATTCCCGGAGTTGTTGGCGCCTGAGGCATTAATGTAACTAACTTGTCTGCAATGGTAAGAGTAACTCATAAAATAGACTGTACTTCAACCACTGATTATGGGGTGGATAGATAATGTAGATTATCTGGCTATTGATTGGAAAGCCCATTTTTGAAGCCCTGAATATATCTATATAATAACCTCTTTTTCTCTGTTAGTTTTCTGCTGTATAGATCTGTACCATAAGCACATATTATCTACGAACCACTGTCTAATTTTATTTTGCTCGATTGAAAAGGTGATTGGGCAAAGGATACAGATATAAAAAGGAATAAACAATCATGATTATCACTACTATACAACGGAGGCTAATGATTTGTGAAGACACAATTGTTATAACATTCTGTCATGCACCGATTTCCAAGCTGGCTACCATGCATACAATCTTGATCCGCAAAACATTAAAACCTTGAAACGGTGGAATTGGGCATAGAGTATAGTACGATTCTTCCTATCTGGCTTTCGTGATAGCCATCTTTAGTGTTTTGTTGGTAGACTAACTAAGAGTCACATTAACAGCTTCGATAGCTAGGACATTGTACATGACCTCAGATCATTAGCAGCTACCTAACCTGACTGTCTAATCAAACAGACTTGTTGAAAAGTCATATTTAACCCTTGGGAATTATCTTCTATGTCATCTAAGATCCTTTTTAGCTCCATAATTGTCGACTCTTTGTTTAGTGCTTTGCCAAAACAAGGGACGAACATTAAACATGTTAGAATGTTTCATTTTGAAACTAAGTGTGATACAAAACCTTCATATTAGTTTGTTTGTTCTCTGGATTTAGTTGAACAGATTTGGAATATTTGATCGATGCGATACTTCAGGTCTAAGACCACCCTAGCTTAAAGTCACTTCTCAAGCAAAATGCATACATCATACCTGTCACAAGTGTCACCAACGTGGAGCGTCACTATGATCACACAAAGTAAATGAGAAGAGTAAGCGGAATGTAAGTGAGAAGTGAGGGCTATCTGCGAGATATCAGACTTACCAGGGTACCTAAACTACAAGGGCAGAAGATTACGAAGTGAAGCAATACTAATGGCAACGACAAAGACAACTGAAAAATCTCACATTTCACCATGGTGAACTCCATGGTATGCTCCCGCGGCGCTAATCATACATGCTTGAAACGCCCGCTGGTAATCATACAAAAAAAAACGAATAATGATAATCAACGCCCGGCTGATGCCGGGCAGGAAACCTCATCACTTTGCCCTCACCGGGGCCTCACATGCCCCGGCGGCGGCGGCGCTTGCTGGTTTGTGCGGAGGACGGCGCACGTGAGGGGGCGGGGGAGGAAGGGGACTGCACGGCGGGGCTGGAAGCAGATGCTTCAACCCCGGAGGCCTCAGTCTTGGGTGCCGGCTTCAAGGTCAGCCGGAGCCGCTGGATCTTAGGCTTTTCGCCTTCGATGGCAGCGGGGGCGACGGCGGCAGCCGGGCCCGAAGACTGGACCTGGGTCGCAGTAGTCGGGGGAGAGGTAGGAGAGGTAGGAGAGGTGGGAGAAGTGGGGGAGGGGAAAGTGGAGGTCGGGGCGGTCTGGCGACGACGACGCTGTGACTTGCGTCCGCCGGTGGTCTCGGCAGTAGTAGTGGCGGTGGCGGGGACGGCTGCAGCAGGCTCATCTGCGGCATCTGCGGCCACAGTCTGACGGCGCTTTCGGGCGCGGGGCTTCTTGGTTGCGGGGGCTGGCACAGGGGTCCGAGCCAGAGCCCTGGCCTTCTCCTCCTCCACGTTTTCAGTGACGAATGGGGCCGCTGCCTCGAATGGGAGATTTCGATCTCCCATGAGTGGAGCGAAGCTGTGAGCAGCATCGGCCTCAGCTTGCTGGTTGGTTCTGGCGCGCACCGGGGGGAAAGGAAGACCCTCGTAGCCGTAGGTGTGAGCAGGATAATAGGGGTGGGAATTCTCTGGAAGCAGAGCAACCTCTTCACCACTGGAGTTGACATAACCAGTCTGAATCCAGCCATCACTTCTGACCTTGCTGTCAGACTGCTTTTTGTAGCTCAGGATGCTTGAGCCGTTGGTGACTGTGCCATTGGTCACTGCGGTGGAAGGAGGATTGGGAGAAGGAGCGGTCACAGGCGCTGGGAGGTCTTGGTCGATCATTTCGACATCGAGATCGACATCACTCGGCAAGGTGGCTTCAGTGGTGGGCATGTCGACGCCATATTTTTCTTCATCTTGACGTCGGAAGTATTCACTTCGCTGCTGCTTCCAGAACACAGCGAAATTGAAAGGAAGGGTAAAGTCAGGGCTTAGGGCTGAAACAGTCAAGTCATACAGCTTCTTGCCAGTTACTTTCGCGTCAATATCGAAACCGATCAAGACAGCATTCTTCCGCATGTTTAAGTTGGTCATTCTCTTTGACTTTCTGGTTTTTCTCATTGGTTGCTTCGAAACATTGTTCTTCACAACCTTGGTAGCCACGGTGGAAGGAGGGGCAGCAGGAGCAGGGGTAGTAGAAGCAGGAGTTTCCACGGTCGGGGTGGACACTGTCATGTTCTTGCGGCGAGGTTTCTTCTTGGTTGACTCAAAAGATTCAATGGCCCTCATGGTGGGCTTACGAACCCGGGATGAGTTCCGCATGTCGGAGGCACTGGTAGGGCTCGATGGACCATCGACTGTTTCTTCGGATTCAAAGCTGCCCATGTACTGGTCAATTGTCCAGCTGGGGCCACCAGTGCTCTCTGGAAAGTCAATATCTGAGACTTCCTTCTTAGGTGTTTCAAGTGCAGCTGTTCTCCTCGTCCGTCGACTCCCCGGGTTTGTGGCCGGGGTTTCTAGGGCTGGAGTGTAAACGTTTGAAAGACGTGACGGACGAGACTGAAAGGTTCGTCGGCGCGAAGAAGGTGTTTCAGGAGATTTCCCACGTGAACTAGAACTTGGAACAGGTGTATTACTTGTAACAGGTTTGCTCGGGGTGTAAAAACGAATGTTGATAGAAGTGTCTTGTGGAGAGGCGGATGTAAGGTTCAACGTTTTGGCGGGTTGCACGTTCTCATTTGTACTTTTTGACGGGGGAGGTACTCGGGGGGAGCGCCGAGAAGGTGTCAATGTGGGCGCTTTATTGATGCGCGCAGGCATCGACTTACGTTGGCCCTTCTTGGGTGGCATCGTGAATTAAAGCTAAATGGCCCGGAAGTTGTCAGTATAATCTATCCATGCAAATACAACGGGCGGTGAATAGAGCGCATGAACTGTACAAATGGAAGACTAGGTAATACCTCCAATAACAGGCAACTAGGGTGTGGGAATAAGAATATATGGGGGTCATCAGGTGAAGTGCAGGGTCGACGTCAGAAGACCGCAGTGCGCGGAAGGGGACAAGTTGGGAATTAGGGCCCAACTTATAGGCGCAGAACTCACGGAATCAGAGGTTCAACCATCCGTAGTTATTTTATAGAGGGTTCATAAACAAGCTTGTAAGGACTAGGAGGACGCTTGAGTTGTATTTGTGGCAGATAAGGCGAAATAAAGTGATGGAAGATGTTGAGGTCAAGCAGAAAAGAAATTAGGGCTACGGCTGATCGGCGCTTATCGGCTTCACTTGTCCGCCTTATTCTGCAACTCCTCTATCCCCCATCATCTCTCTGAGCTCTCTACAGCTGCTTTCTGTTATTTCCGTTTTCTTTTGGTCATTTCTTTCACAATGCATCTGTGGCAAGCCACCGTTCCATTCTGCCTATTGGCTGCAGCTGCCTTACCCGGCGCCGCCGCGACAGCTTGGGGCTTTACTGATGCCACCGTGGCCGTTCAAGCAAAAGGTGCTGGTGTCAATGGAGGTTTCAAGGAACAGTATGTGTTTTGACTCAAGTAGAAGATACATAAAACTAATCAAGATATTAAAAACAGATTTACTGCATCCAAGCCGCTCTCCAAGCCCATCTCCCTTTTCAGTGCCGATACCCTACGCATCACCTTGACAGCCCAGGAAGACAGCTCTCCAAAGCGGCCAGATCAGGCTTTCCTTTTGCTCAAGGATGCTCAGACTGGATTGGATATCTCTTACCCTTTTAATGTCAAGGATAATGGCAAGTCAAGAGTCGAATTGGTATGTAACCCCCGAAATTGATTTCCCGCGGCGCAGCTAACACATGCCTTCCAGACCCAGAAAGATCTCCCGATTCAATTCCTTTCCCTGTCCAGTCCAGTTGATGCGCATGTCGTCATTGGTGGATTTGGAAACTCCGAGGCCTACGACAGCTCTGTGTTCAAGTTGTCAATTGATCACAACCCCGAAGAGGCCGTGCCGACCGTTGAAACCGAGCGATACGGCAAGAAGGCCGAGATCCACCATATCTTCAAGGATTCTGCCTCTAGCCCGCCAATCGTCATCACGCTGACATTTGTTGCCTTGGTCGTCGCTGCTATCCCCGCTCTTGCTGGCTTGGTAAGTCAATCTCATTACTGTGCCAACAACGTTGCTTATAGATTGCCTCTAGTGGTTCTTCCTCGGCGCCAACATCAACCACCTACCCACCGCATTGAAGTCCGCCCCTCTCTCGCACGCCATCTTCCTCGGATCTTTGATCGGATTTGAGGGGATCTTCATCCTCTACTATACCTCGTGGAACCTGTTCCAGATCCTCCCCGCGATGGCCGTTGTCGGTGCGATCGCATTTGTTAGTGGTAGCCGTGCGCTGGGTGAAGTGCAGGGCAGGCGTCTTGCTGGTCTCCGGTAAACTTTCGGAACATACATAAATTTATTTGCTGTGGTCCTGTTTGTACTCTCACGGTGGTCTTAAACTGCAGTGTGGTCTTAGGTTCCGGTGGTATTGTATCTTAGCTGCGGTGGTACCCAGTATGTTTTCATAAAATAGAAGGTTTTCTACCGAAAATTTACGAAAGCTTCATTGATCTTTCAAAGTGGTCATCTCCCTACACATTGTAATATGGGTTGGGTTGGAGCTCCCCAGATACGCAGCCGCGCCCACATACATGTATACTTACTATCAACCCCATTTCAACATTGAACTTGACATTGTGGATATATTGGACGAGTATGTGTTGCTTTACATCAGTCAGTCCCGCTAGATAACTCATACTCCCAACGGAGCTGTTTGTTGACTACATACTTTTTGACGTCACCAGGGCATGTTTAAACAATGATGTATTTAAATAACTTACCGCTTTCTTTACCGCCTACTAAGGGCATGCATATGCACTCCTCAGAGATCAGGCCTTGGTTTAAACCACACTGTAGATAAGGAGTGGTTCTCGAGTATCCTTGAGAGTTCCACGTCTTTAATTCTTGTTGACACTTTGCAAAAATATTATTACGCATGAATCGTATACTTGGACTTATAGATCGCCAAGAAGTGGCGACTGTTCTGCTGGCAAAAGAGCCGAACGTCTAGATTAAATGCCAAGACGACTTCGGGACCTCCGCCCAAAGCTCCGCAAAAGCCGCAACGTCTTCCACGAACACTTCTGATTTCACAGCTCATCATTCTCAATGGGTTCCGCTGCTTCAAAGCCCGCTAAGTCAGCGGCTGGCGCTGCCTCACGGCGCCAATACCCCAAACAGTCTGCTCCTCCACCGAGGGGCCCGCGCAAAGCTCCGAAAGAAACCAAAGCAGCGTCTGCACCTACGCCTACTCCCGCATCCAAGCCCAAGGCTAGTCCCTCGCCTCCTCGCGCACCCGCACCTGCACCTCCTTCTCAAGGCCCAACATACCACTCAAAGGAGCAAGCATCCAGCGTGAAGTCTGATGGTACGTACATTCGCCAGTGATTCTGTCAAGTCTCTCTCCCATGCAACAAATGCAAGATCCGCAAGGAAGTACTTACTAACAACTCTCTAGCTATCGACATGGACGGTCGGGATCCCGACTTCGCCGCCTCCCTCCGGTCAATAGGTCCCGTCAACCCATCACCTACATTCTCAAATTCAAGCACCTTCAACCGCTCAAAACAAACTGTCTTCCCACATGCTTCCAACCCGGCACTCCTAGTTGTCACTGCTCGACAACGCCTCACAGAGGCTGCGGAAAGAGAATCCGAGCACTTCGGCCATGCAGGTCACCCGGGGAGATCGTTCCTGGATGCCCTGACTATCCAACAGGTGTTGACGATGCGGGACAAGCAGGGTATGCGTCGTGGAGATATTGAACGATTCCTCGGGTTGAAGAAGGGGGTGTTGGAGCGGTTAGGAAAGGATGAGATTGTGTCGCGTATTACATGATCTTCGTCTTCCACCCAGGTGAGCTCTGTTGTTTAGCGGCTTTCCCCCCAAAATAGCATTAGGTGTCGTTGGTGCATTTTGGATTATTGGTTGGCGTCATTCTTCCTGATTTTATGTGCTATCTGTATAGTAACCTGGTTCAGTCATCCCTACTCATGATAATATCAAATTCTTTAGTTAGAGTGGCTATAAATGTCTTCTTTGGCCTTTCCAACTTCTTGCCCAGAGGGCGGATGTTATAGATTATATGATGGACGTCGGGAACTTTGAAAAAGAAGTTTCAAACAATTTGAGATTCTGGGAATGCAGCCTGTCAAGTTCCTCCTTGACGGCGTGTCCGTTGTGTGGCATAGGGTAGAGTCCTGCAACCCTGGTATTTTAAGGAGTTCAGATTGCAGGCCAGCATTCATGCTCTGGTGAACCCCGATGTACCATGTATATACAGCGTAGATGAAATTATATAATTGACAGAACAGGCAATCTTTCTGAGTTGGAACCTTAAGTTGATATCCCAGGTTTATCATAAGAACGTGGGGCCCAGGGGTGATCTTTCGGCACCGACTACCAATCACACAGCACAGAGACAGGATGACAGTGCCCAGGTGGAGGGGTTGCGATCTAAATCACGCCCTATGCTATGACTGATAACGAAATTGATGAACCACCACATACTTATAAGTTATACATGTCTTCCTTTCTCTTATACACACTCTGAAAGCGATTGAACATATTCAGCTCTCGGTCCCCTCTCTTTGAAAGTCACAACTATAATGTATCTCCGCGCTGTCTACGCCGAGGGACAACTCCCTGTTCTCCACCAATTCATCCGCGACAACCCACTGGGAATCATAACAACGGCGATCAAGTCCCCGATATACTCATTTATCCAATCCAGCCACATCCCCTTCGTCCTCGATGTACCTCCATCAACCGGGGACGATGACATAGTCCCGACCGGCATTCTGCGCGGTCACATTGCCAAGCAGAACCCACAAGCGAAAGCGCTGATGGAAGCCCTTGCTGAGCAAAATGCAGCGGGGAATAACAAACTCGAGCTCACGGACGAAGTGCTGATTCTCTTTAATGGCCCCTACCACCACTACGTGACGCCCAAATTCTACACAGAAACCAAGCCGGCCTCCGGCAAGGTCGTCCCGACGTGGAACTACTCCGCCGTGCAGGCGTACGGCAAGATCAGTGTGTACTGTAATTCTAAGGCCGAGGAAACGGGTGCGTTTTTGCAGAAACAGATTCAAGATTTATCGCGGCAGTCGGAGGAGGGCATTATGGGGTATACTGGGGGTGATAAGAAGACCGCGTGGAATGTCTCCGAGGCGCCGGTCAATCATGTGGAGCTTCTGAAGAAGAATATCATTGGCATTGAGATTCGGGTTGAGCGGTTGCAGGGGAAGTTTAAGATGAGTCAGGATAAGGGCGAGGGGGATCGGGAGGGGATTGTGAAGGGGTTTGAGGAGTTGGGGTCGGAGGTTGGGAGGGGTATTGCTGATTGTGTCAGGGAGCGTGCTGCCTTGAAGGATCAGCGGAAGGTATTGTGATTGAGTTATTGGAGAAGATCTGTGTATAATCTGGTTACCGTTGCACATGCACTTGATGTGACGTGATCATAAGGGATGAGCAACATGCATACAATATAGATAATATAGAACCTTTACGGAAATGTGTTCAGTTCAAGGGTCGAAGCTTTCAAGATTTACTTTGTACTTTGTAGATGAGCACGGTTCTGGTGCTATACTTTGGATGTTGTATGTTGGAGGTCGGCCTCGGGATATGTTTCACTTTTAACTTTTTAATGTGTCTACCTAATCCTCGTCTTACCCGTGGACTTGGGGTTTGGGGCCAGGTGTTCACACTTAGATTAATACGATGTACTCCATACGGGGTTCTCGGATCCTGCAAGACAAATGAGAAGATCGCACATGTCAAGATCAACATACGGAATACTTCATACGAGTTGCCATATTAAAGATACAGGTCTGATGTACAGGTCTCCTATGTTGGATATGTCGTAAGTCTCCTGTAAGGTGTACCGCCAAGCATATTTAGGCAAAGGCCTGTGCACTTAAGCTCTAACCACATCCCTGGATTATCCCAAATAGTACATGTCTATTGTAAAGCATGAATAGTTACATATTGTATTCCATAGATGTACAACATATAACATATACCGAGAATGTGTTTTTTACCCGGCATTCTCCACAATCAGATCTCAGAGACACGGGATCTCTAAGATCCAGGGATTATCATGTATAATTATAGAAAGGGGCTATGAATGGAAGTGGGGAGGAAAACGGGAAACCGGCGCAAATCTTCCCTTTTTCCCCGGATTTTATGCACCGGCATCCTGGCGAAATTTCCCCTTTTCGAAGAGACCCTTGGAACCTTGGAACCTTCGGAGATCGGAACAAAAGTCTAAGAACAACAGTTTGATGTAATTGGACTAATTTTGGGAATCTAATTTATTGTATTGTATTGTATTCTTAGTGTGCGGTTTCACCGAAGTAGCGATTTATTTTGGAATAGTGTAATGCAGGGTCCACATAGTGTGGCACAAACTTGGTCCAACTTGGACATAATTAGCTGGACGGAGTACATATACTCCGTATAGGAGTACCTATGTCTCTCATTAGGCCCACTTGGGCAATTTGGGACAATATGAGAGGTGGAGATGATGACACAATAATAGACGAAAAGTGATTCTAACGTAATAAAAAAATAATAAAAACAGGAAAAGAAGAGAAACTAAGCATTTGGAGTAAATTGGAGCCTCAGGTTAGTAGAGTCGCGTGCACAATTTCCTATCGCCTAATTGGCCTCGTTCTGTTTATTCCGTGATATCTAAGAATAACCTGGACCCTTTCCCATCTTCCCTTTCCTTCCGAGGTCTCCTCTTCCCTTCTTTCTTTGTTGCCTGGGCTCTCGTTTACCATTTCAACATTCCTCGATCCTCCTTTGCCAACTGCGTGATTCCACTCTCCAAATGGAATGATTTCAACATGTCCATCTTCGCTCTTTTACCACCTTTGCCGCCCTTCCTTTTCTCGGCACTCGTCGTGAGTGGCCTCGCCTCAAAGGCCTTACATATTGCCCTACACTTTCAGTCTTTACCGTTCCTCTACTTCGTCCTCTATTCGCCCACCCTTATTCTACGAGATGTGTTGGTTATCATATTCGTGCGAGTCTTGTTACGCTTCCAGGTGCCAGAGAGTCGTTGGCAATGGCTCTCAACTGGGTTGGGAGGGGCACTATCGTATGTTTATCCCGAATACGAGATTCCGCAAATGGAGGACAAGGGGGATTTTTGCGCAACATAATCTAACACTACGATTAGCCTAATCACATGGGGTGCTTCCTCCATTCAGTTCGGATTCTTTATGCAGACCGGTGCCGAGGTCGCCTGGGCAGCTGGTGGTAGCTTCCTGAGTGATCCGGCGGCCATGAAAATCCTCCTCAGCGGTATCTCGACTGTATCCGCCGCGGCCACCGTCCTCGGACTAATGGCGTGGTTGCTTCATTCGCATCTGTACAACATCACCGGTCTCGGCTTGCAGGCAATCCGAGACTTGTGCGTGGGGGGATACAAAGCGCGTTATACATTGATTTCCGCCCCCAGCAAATCGTGCATGGCCTCGATAGACATCCGGTCGTTCCGTCGCATCATTCCCGCAGTCGCCATCTGTGTGTCACTCCTTTTCTTGGAACTAACTAGACCCGCTGTACCGTACGATCATCTATCCGGAGCTCTGCCGCTGACACTGCTCGATGCTTTCCAAAAAAAATCGGCCACGGTGGAGGGATGTCGCGAGCCCGCCAGGCCATTCCCTTTATTCACCGAGGATAATGGGGTCTCCCGTCCTCAGTTCCAACCGGACTCGACCCTTGTGGAACAATGGTCACGAGCTACATGGCTCCCCGAAAACCCACCCCGAGGATTCAGCCGCTGGGATCTCAACCCGAGCGATCGCGCAAAGAAGGACAATCATTATTCTTTTGTTTGCCCTGGTGACGAGGGCGCATTCTACCACCCGAAGAACGACCCGCTCATGGTCACGAATTTGGGCGGTGAAATTTATGAACCCTTACAAAAGGCTTTCAAAGAGCACTCCGTTGAGGTCAACCATGTGGTGCTATTAACGCTCGAAAGTGGCCGCAAGGAACTTTTCCCCACACAACAGGGCACTCCCTTGTTCGAGGGTCTTCTCGCCTCTCATAAGAAGCAGGACATCAACGAGGCAATCGATCGTCTGGTCAACATGACCCCGGTCGCACAACAGTTGACTGGCGAGTACGCAACCGATAGCAAGGGTAACAAGGTCGACTTGAGCCACTCTTCGTGGCAAACCCCGCCACGAGAAGGTATGGGTGGTCTTAATGTCCGTGGTGCCGTGACAGGTAGCTCCTTGACATTCAAGAGTGTTTTGGGAAGTCACTGTGGTGTGAACCCTTTACCGGTGGATCTACTGGAGGAGTCTTTGCTCGAAATTTACCAGCCGTGCTTGCCACAGATTTTCGATCTGTTCAATCAAGGCAAGTCGCAATCGGGAAAGCACCTCCAGAACTCTTCTGAGAGTGAATCCGCGGCTCTCAAGAACCCTTGGAAGTCTGTATTCATGCAGTCAATTACCGATGACTATGACCGCCAGGACATTCTGAACAAAAACATGGGATTTACGCACAAGGTCGTTAAGAGTACTATGCAAGCTCCCCACGCAAAGCATAAAGCTCAGGGCGAAGAGATCAACTACTTCGGATTTGCGGAGACTGAGCTCCGACCTTACGTGATGGATCTCTTCGAGGAGGCTGCAAATAACAAGACCCGCATGTTCCTTTCACATGTCACCAGCACAACCCACCACCCCTGGAGTACTCCAGAAGATTTCGAGAAAGAACCATACATGAGCGATCAAGGAAACATCAACCACGATCTGATGAACAACTACCTGAATGCCGCCCGGTTCGTCGATATCTGGCTCGGGGACATC